GTTCCTCTAATGTCCACTAGAGTCTGTCTCCTGCAGTGAGTCAGTCCCCATAGAGCTCTATGTTAAAATGTTTAACTTTACAGCTGCAGTTCCTCTAATGTCCACTAGAGTCTGTCTCCTGTAGTGAGACAGTCCTCATAGAGCTCTATGTTAAAATGTCTAACTTTACAGCTGCAGTTCCTCCAGTGTCCACTAGAGTCTGTCTCCTGCAGTGAGTCAGTCCCCATAGAGCTCTATGTTAAAATGTCTAACTTTACAGCTGCAGTTCCTCCAGTGTCCACTAGAGTCTGTCTCCTGCACTGAGTCAGTCCTCTAAACCTGGTCACATGGTCAGTGTTTGTCGTTACTGATGCTGTTTCAACGTTGGACTTCTGGTTTCTAACTCACCTGTCCGCTGCCCGACAACGCTCTGACACGGGAGAAGTCAAGCCCCGCCCTCTTCATCTTGTCCAATAGCAGGTCCAGAGCCTAATGACGGACAGGAACACAGAACAACCAGGTCAGCTGATGATCCCTCTCAAGGTGTTAATACTTCACCTGAGGAGTTACAGAGTGAACCGAGCCGTGTGTGTGTGTGTGTGTGTGTGTGTGTGTGTGTGTGTGTGTGTGTGTGTGTGTGTGTGTGTGTGTGTGTGTGTGTCCTACCTTCACCCACATCAGCACAGGTGAGGTGACCGTCAGTTTGTCAGCATGGATATGAACTCCTCCCTGAGTCCTGACACAAATCAAATGTAATGAGGTCATCGTGGTCTATTGATCTTTAAAACATCAGATATAGCAACATGCTATGCTAACTTCCTGTCTCTCATGTAGCAGGTGTTCAGTCAGTGTGTCACCTGAACTCAGGTAGCTCAGAGTCAAACTGCACGTTGTTCTGATGAACCACGCTCAGGTTTCCATCCACAGCCACCACCTTCAGCTTCATGGGGGGGGGGGGGGGGGGGGGGGGGGGGGGGTCAACAGTGAAAACACACAAATATCAGTTTTATTTTCAGCACTTCAGTTTTCATGTTGTCGATTGCCCCCTCTGGGTGGAGAGAGAGTCTGATTTTTCTCTCTCCAGTATCGGTCGGGTCCTGATTGTCTTGTGTCCGTGCAGAGGAGTCGGGATGAGATGTGTGCAGGTAGATGACGTCATGAAATGCCCTCCCACAATTCCTCTAATAGGTTTGAAACTGTTTGAGTGAGCAGCGAGGTTCCACCCTCTCTCTCTCTCTTTAGTGTTTACATATATTAAATGTTGTTTTTCAGCGGGTTGATACCATGGCAACAACAAGAGGAGTCCTACACACACAATATGGGTCATTTATTATTTGAATTACTAAAAGTTGCAGGAAATGACCTCCACAAAGTCTAGATTGCATTAAAACATTTGTATTGATGTGGAGTTTGGCTGCAGGTTCCTTCCTCTCCTGTACACCTACACCTGTCTAACAGGTATGAAACATGTTGACAGCCTCGATGTGACAGTTCTGTTCTGTGTTTAAGCTACAAAGTCCATCCTCAGAGCTCATCCTGAACCTCCACAGGACTCACACTCTCTCTCCGCTTCTTCCGCGTCTGCGCGAAAAACGAGAAACTCTGCCTGCCTGCACGCAGCCACGTGCGGCGGACACGTCATCCTCTCGGACGTGCAGGTGAGAGAAGGAAACAAAAAGGTGAGTTTTACCTGCTGAGTGCTGAAATCAAAACCAAGATAGAGAAAGTCCCGAGCAGCGGCCATCACCACAAACACACACACACACACTGAGACACACAGTCAGTGAGGAGAGGAGGAGGAAGGGTTAAACTCTTAAAGAGACAGTAACACACTCACGTTCATACATAAAGACACGTTAATGATTCTCAAAGGGCCACAACATCTGCTTCAGATAGTCACGAGTTCAGTGACATGACCGGCTCAACGGCCAAATAAAGAGAGACACTACACTGCAGCCTCTACCATCAGCATGTGAATGTGTGTGAATGGATGAGTTAATACAGGCGGACTCTTTACTCAGCGGCCTCTACCATCAGCGTGTGAATGGATGAGTTAATACTGACGGACTCTTTACACTGCGGCCTCTACCATCAGCGTATGAATGTGTGTGAATGGATGAGTTAATACAGGCGGACTCTTTACTCAGCGGCCTCTACCATCAGTGTGTGAATGGATGAGTTAATACTGACGGACTCTTTACTCAGCGGCCTCTACCATCAGCGTGTGAATGTGTGTGAATGGATGAGTTAACACTGACGGACTCTTTACTCAGCGGCCTCTACCATCAGCGTGTGAATGTGTGTGAATGGATGAGTTAATACTGATGGACTCTTTACTCAGCGGCCTCTACCATCAGCGTGTGAATGGATGAGTTAATACTGACGGACTCTTTACTCAGCGGCCTCTACCATCAGCGTGTGAATGGATGAGTTAATACTGACGGACTCTTTACTCAGCGGCCTCTACCATCAGCGTGTGAATGGATGAGTTAATACTGACGGACTCTTTACTCAGCGGCCTCTACCATCAGCGTGTGAATGGATGAGTTAATACTGACGGACTCTTTACTCAGCGGCCTCTACCATCAGCGTGTGAATGGATGAGTTAATACTGACGGACTCTTTACTCAGCGGCCTCTACCATCAGTGAGTGAATGGATGAGTTAATACTGATGGACTCTTTACTCAGCGGCCTCTACCATCAGCGTGTGAATGTGTGTGAATGGATGAGTTAATACTGACGGACTCTTTACTCAGCGGCCTCTACCATCAGCGTGTGAATGGATGAGTTAATACTGATGGACTCTTTACTCAGCGGCCTCTACCATCAGTGTGTGAATGGATGAGTTAATACTGATGGACTCTTTACTCAGCAGCCTCTACCATCAGTGTGTGAATGGATGAGTTAATACTGATGGACTCTTTACTCAGCGGCCTCTACCATCAGCGTGTGAATGTGTGTGAATGGATGAGTTAATACTGACGGACTCTTTACTCAGCAGCCTCTACCATCAGTGTGTGAATGTGTGTGAATGGATGAGTTAACACTGACGGACTCTTTACTCAGCGGCCTCTACCATCAGCGTGTGAATGGATGAGTTAATACTGACGGACTCTTTACTCAGCTGCCTCTACCATCAGTGTGTGAGTGGATGAGTTAATACTGACGGACTCTTTACTCAGCAGCCTCTACCATCAGCGTGTGAATGTGTGTGAATGGATGAGTTAATACTGACGGACTCTTTACTCAGCGGCCTCTACCATCAGCGTGTGAATGGATGAGTTAATACTGACGGACTCTTTACTCAGCGGCCTCTACCATCAGCGTGTGAATGTGTGTGAATGGATGAGTTAACACTGACGGACTCTTTACTCAGCGGCCTCTACCATCAGCGTGTGAATGTGTATGAATGGATGAGTTAACACTGATGGTCTCTTTACTCAGCGGCCTCTACCATCAGCGTGTGAATGTGTATGAATGGATGAGTTAATACTGATGGACTCTTTACTCAGCGGCCTCTACCATCAGCGTGTGAATGTGTATGAATGGATGAGTTAACACTGATGGTCTCTTTACTCTGCAGCCTCTACCATCAGTGTGTGAATGGATGAGTTAATACTGACGGACTCTTTACTCTGCAGCCTCTACCATCAGTGTATGAATGGATGAGTTAACACTGATGGTCTCTTTACTCTGCAGCCTCTACCATCAGTGTGTGAATGGATGAGTTAATACTGATGGACTCTTTACTCTGCAGCCTCTACCATCAGTGTGTGAATGGATGAGTTAATACTGATGGACTCTTTACTCAGCGGCCTCTACCATCAGCGTGTGAATGTGTGAATGGATGAGTTAACACTGACGGACTCTTTACTCAGCGGCCTCTACCATCAGCGTGTGAATGTGTATGAATGGATGAGTTAACACTGATGGTCTCTTACTCAGCGGCCTCTACCATCAGCGTGTGAATGTGTATGAATGGATGAGTTAATACTGATGGACTCTTTACTCAGCGGCCTCTACCATCAGCGTGTGAATGTGTATGAATGGATGAGTTAACACTGATGGTCTCTTTACTCTGCAGCCTCTACCATCAGTGTGTGAATGGATGAGTTAATACTGACGGACTCTTTACTCTGCAGCCTCTACCATCAGTGTGTGAATGTGTAGGTGTGACCTGCGGAGTAAAAGAGCTTTGATTAGTCAGAGGATTAGAAAAGTGCGACACAATCTCAAATCCATTCACCATGAGGTGGCAGCTCTTGTGACTGTGAGCATTGGGCCAAGGTGCTCTTAATTAGGCTGATTGGACGACAACACCTGAGAAGAAGGCACAACCTCACAGAGCCACAGAACTTTAAGAATAAGAATTAATAAGTCTCAGAGCGCCCAAAACTTCAAACAACATATCAAACAGCCACTGATGCACCGTCAGCTGATTTATATGAGACAATAAATAATAATAAGACAATAAGAGAGTCATTTCATGCTGCATCTCATTGACCTGGTAAAAAAAAAAACGGTGTCCCCTTCTTTCTTCTCCTCAAAGTCTGACGCAGCTGCTGCCTGTAACGGATCCTATCAGCCTCCTGATTGGTGAGGTGCTTATCGCCCCCTGGTGTTCACAAAGAAAACTACATAAACAAAACCCCAAATAACAGATGAAGAAGCTCCTACAATGAGGATAAATAACATATTAAACCCATATGGATATAAAACCTGCATCTCAGAAATAATTCAAGATGTGGTCAACTTCTTTTACAGTGTTAAATCATGGAGGTTGAGAATAATGAATCTACACGATATCCGATAATTTTATTAATCTGTATATTATTTTACTTGAACATTACATTTTATTTATTTCATTTTATCTAATAAATGTATCTACTTTAATAACTGTGTTTTTACTACTAATTCGTTGTTGTTTCCTTCTAAAATGTCTTTATATCTCATCGTAATTCTCTAAGTCCTTACCATTCGATAAACATGCATGAAATATGTCCCTCTTACCGCACCGTAGTAGATCAAAGATCGTCTTTTCTTACGTCGACGAGTCTTGAAGTCGTGACGCAGCAGCCGAGCGTTCCTTCGATTTCTTCTGACGGCGGTGACGTTAACCGGCTCGTGAAACGTGCTCGGAGTGAGACCTCCTGCCTCATTCTTTACCTCTTTCCCGGAATCGACGACAAGCTACACCAAAACAACGTCGACGAGCTGAGGAAGAGGAGCATCAGCGGGGTTTAGCACATCTTTGTGAGCGGAGAGCTTTCTGTCAGCGTGTCCAGTCACATAAAGGTGACTCACAGAAACATTGAACAGCCTCTGGTGGCGGGTAAACGGAATTTAAACTCAGTTTTATAACAAGGAGAGTAATGTCAGCTAACAGCGTTATAACGTCTGAGTCAGTAGAGACAGAAATGTTAAATATTATCTTTTTAATTTAAACCGTTTCACTGAGGTTAAGATCTCTGGTTTCTGTTATTACACGTTAAGTTTAATATACAGCCGCCATTGTAGCTCTCTCCGTTTCTTTCGTTTTCTAAACCAACAAGAAACAATGCTGTTTAATGTCTAGTTTATAAAGTTCTTATAGTTTTCTTGGTGTCTGAACACAGGAGTGTTTTAAAGTGTTCAATGGAAGAAGCTTTCTGACAGATTTCATACAAATGATCAACATCTACGCATTAAAGTTCATTTTCCCCATCAAGCTCTACAACTCAGTTCCTACACTTCCCATGATGCAACTGGGTAGTGTCTGCTGTCCTTTGACTGAAACTACAATTTATAACTTAAAAGCTTTCATGGTTATAATATTGGGGTTTTAGTTTAAATTAGTTTTTAAGTGGCTTTCAAATTAAAATTTTTAATCAGATTATTTTATTACATGTTTGAAATTCTATTATTTCACATTTAAAGAGGTGATGGCGGAGCTGAACACAGAGGCAAAGCTGAAGACGCAGCTGAAGCAGGAGAAGATCCAGCTGTGGAACCCTCCATACACCGACGACAACAACCAGCCAGGAGCGCAGCACATGCAGGTCAGCCTTTAAGGGGTTAAAACAAAATGGAACTACAAACCCACCCATGATTGGTGCAGAGCTAGATCTTTAACTCGTGTGAGGTTCAGTCATCTGTAACATCTTCCTCTGTAGTGATGTCACACACTGAGAATAACAACCTGAGCCTGTGAGGGACCAAAACAGAACCGTACCATGTGATACGGTGCGACAGGAAACAACAGGATACGTTTTGAAACACACACATTTAGCGTCCTCCACTGTAGCATCTATAAATAAATAAAAACAATCCACATGAGAACAGAGAAGCATCGATTAAAACACATCGAATGCTCACAATCTGCATCAAACCTCAGTGAGCGTTAAACCATCAGTCAGTGGTTTAACATTTGGTTTTGTTCTCAGGAGCTGGCGGAGAGATACGCCCCTCTGGTGTGTCTGCCGGTGCAGGAGGTAGGGGGCGCTCTGGAGGCGATCCGGGTGCAGGCGGTGAGGAGAGGGAAAGGAAACAAGACGTTCAAGGAGACGAGCATGGCCACGCTGGAGCTGCTGCTGCCCAGAGACAGCAAGAAGGTGGAAAACAAGCCGCCATGTTTACATCCACGTGTTTACATCCACATGTTTACAAACAGATGTTTACATCCACATGTTTACATCCACATGTTTACAAACAGATGTTTACATCCACATGTTTACATCCACATGTTTACAAACAGATGTTTACATCCACATCATCCACATGTTTACAAACAGATGTTTACATCCACATGTTTACATCCACATGTTTACAAACAGATGTTTACATCCACATGTTTACAAACAGATGTTTACATCCACATGTTTACATCCACATGTTTACAAACAGATGTTTACATCCACATGTTTACAAACAGATGTTTACATCCACATGTTTACATCCACATGTTTACAAACAGATGTTTACATCCACATGTTTACATCCACATGTTTACAAACAGATGTTTACATCCACATGTTTACAAACAGATGTTTACATCCACATGTTTACATCCACATGTTTACAAACAGATGTTTACATCCACATGTTTACATCCACATGTTTACATCCACATGTTTACAAACAGATGTTTACATCCACATGTTTACAAACAGATGTTTACATCCACATGTTTACAAACAGATGTTTACATCCACATGTTTACATCCACATGTTTACAAACAGATGTTTACATCCACATGTTTACATCCACATGTTTACATCCACATGTTTACAAACAGATGTTTACATCCACATGTTTACAAACAGATGTTTACATCCACATGTTTACAAACAGATGTTTACATCCACATGTTTACATCCACATGTTTACATCCACATGTTTACAAACAAATGTTTACATCCACATGTTTACAACAGACTCTGTGACATCACAGCGGGAGCTACACACACACACACACACACACACACACACACACACACTGACAGGTGTTTCTTTGACTGATTGATTTTCAGGATCCAAAGACAAAGAATCACCTGGAGACGAGACTGGACGTGTTGGTCCAGGAGGTGGTGGACAGGTAAACACACACACACACACACACACACACACACACACAACACAGACACAACACAGACACAACACAGACACACACACACACACACACAGACACACAGACACACACACACAGACCACACACACACACGATACACAGACACACAGACACACAGACACACAGACACAACACAGACACACACACACACACAGACACAACACAGACACAACACAGACAACACAGACACACAGACACAAACACACACAGACCAACACACACACACACACACACACACACACACACACACACACAGACACAACACACAGACAGACACACACACACACACACACTCACACACACACTCTCCTCTCTCTCTCTCTGTCTCTCTCTCTCCTCTCTCTC